TGGACTCCACGGGAGGGGAAGTGGATGGGGAGGTCACAGAGGTGGAGAGCTCAGTTGGAGGTTTGGAAGACGTTGATGTTGTGTGAGGTACTGTGTTTGTAGGGGTAAGGGTCTCGGTGGTTGTGGTGGTGGGCGTCGATGTCGGGGTTTGGGTAGTGATAGATATGGGAGTTGGGATCTCAGTGATGGCAGAGGTCGGACTTGGAGCCTCTGTGGTTACAGTAGTGGATACTGGGGCTGTAGTACCTGTCATGGTGGTAGACCTGAGAGTAGAGGTAGGGGCTGGAGTCTCCGTACTAGTAGATGCTGAGGTCTCTGTGGTGGTGGGTGTTGGGGTTGGGGTCACTGTGGTGGTGGGTGTAGTTGTTGGGGTCTGAGTAGTGGTACTTACTGGGGTTGTGGTCACTGTGGTGCTGGGTGTAGTTGTTGGGGTCTGAGTAGTGGTAGGTACTGGAGTCATGGTCACTGTGGTGGTGGTATATGTTGGGGTCTGAGAAGTGGTAGATGATGGAGTAGAGGTCTCTGTAGTGGTAGGTACTGGGGTCGTGGTCACTGTGGTGGTGGTGTGTCCTGCGGTCTGAGTACTGGTAGATGATGGAGTTGTGCTCTCTGTAGTAGTAGGTACTGGGGTCGGGGTCACTGTGGTGGTGACAGTGGGTTTTGAGGTCTGAGTAGTGGTAGGTGTTGGAGTAGAAGTCTCTATGGTGGTAGATGTTAAGGGTGAGGTCTCTGTGGTGGTGGGTGTTGGGGTTGTGGTCACTGTGGTGATAGGGGTGGGTGTTGGGGTCTGAGTAGTGGTAGGTGTTGGGGTTGAGGGCTCAGGAGTGGTAGGTACTGGGGTTGTGGTCACTGGGGTGGTGGGTGATGAGGTTGTGGTCACTGTGGTGGTGGTGTGTCCTGGGGTCTGAGTAGTGGTAGATGTTGGAGTAGAGGTCTCTGTAGTGGTAGGTACTGGGGTTGTGGTCACTGGGGTGGTGGGTGATGAGGTTGTGGTCACTGTGGTGGTGGTGTGTCCTGGGGTCTGAGTAGTGGTAGATGTTGGAGTAGAGGTCTCTGTAGTGGTAGGTACTGGGGTTGTGGTCACTGTGGTGGGTGTGGGTGTTGGGGTCTGAGTAGTGGTAGGTGTTGGGGTTGGGGACTCAGTACTGGTAGGTACTGGAGTCGTGGTCACTGTGGTACTGAGTGTAGCTGTTGGGGTCTGAGTAGTGGTAGGTACTGGGGTCGTAGTCACTGTGGTGCTGGGTGTGGGTGTTGGGGGCTGAGTAGTGGTAGGGACTGGAGTAGAGGTCACTGTAACAGTAGGTGTTGGGGTTGCAGTTTCTGTCATGGTAAAAGTGGGGGTTGAGGTCTCTGTGGTGGTGGGTGTTGTGGTGGGGGTCACTGTGGTGCTGGGTGTGGGTGCTGGGGTCTGAGTAGTGGTAGATATTGGTATAGAGGTCTCAGTAGTGGTAGGTACTGGGGTTGTGGTCACTGTGGTGGTGGTGGAGGGAGGTGTTGGGGTCTGAGTAGTGGTAGGTGTTGGGGTTGTGGTCACTGTGGTGGTGGTGGATGGAGGTGTTGGGGTCTGAGTAGTGATAGGTGTTGGGGTTGTGGTCACTGTGGTGCTGGGTGTGGATGTTGGGGTCTGAGTAGTGGTAGATGTTGGAGTAGAAGTCTCTATGGTGGTAGGTGTTATGGGTGAGGTCTCTGTGGTTGTGGGTGTTGGGGTCTGCGTAGTGGTAGGTGTTGGGGTTGAGGGCTCAGGAGTAGTAGGTAGTGGGGTTGTGGTCACTGTGGTGGTCGGTGTGGGTGCTGGGGTCTGAGTAGTGGTAGATGTTGGTATAGAGGTCTCAGGAGTGGTAGGTACTGGGGTTGTGGTCACTGTGGTGGTGGGTGTGGGTGGGGTCTGAGAAGTGCTAGATGATGGAGTAGAGGTCTCCGTGACAGTAGATGTTGGGGTTGTGGTTACTGTGGTGCTGGGTGTGGGTGCTGGGGTCTGAGTAGTGATAGATGTTGGTATAGAGGTCTCAGTAGTGGTAGATACTGGGGTTGTGGTCACTGTGGTGGTGGTGGTGGTATATGTGGGGGTCTGAGAAGTGCTAGATGATGGAGTAGAGGTCTCCGTGACAGTAGATGTTGGGGTTGTGGTTACTGTGGTGCTGGGTGTGGGTGTTGGGGTCTGGGTAGTGGTGGATGTTTCAATGGAGGTCACTGTGACAGTGGGTGTTGGGGTTGTGGTTTCTGTTATTGTAGAAGTTGAGGGTGAGGTCTCTGTGATAGGGGGTGATGGGGAAGGGGTCACTGTGGTGCTGGATGTGGATGTTGGGGACTGAGTAGTGGTAGATGTTGGTGTAGAGGTCTCTGTAGTAGTAGGTACTGGGGTTGTGGTCACTGTGGTGGTGGGTGTGGGTGATGGGGTCTGCGTAGTGGTAGATGTTGGCGTAGAGGTCTCTGTGGTGGTGGGTGTTGGGGTGATGGTCACTGTGGTGGTGGGTGTGGGTGCTGGGGTCTGAGTAGTGGTAGATGTTGGTGTAGAGGACTCTGTAGTGGTAGGTACTGGGGTTGTGGTCACTGTGGTGGTGGGTGTGGGTGCTGGGGTCTGAGTAGTGGTAGATGTTGGTATAGAGGTCTCAGTACTGGTAGATACTGGGGTTGCGGTCACTGTGGTGGTGGGTGTAGTTGTTGGGGTCTGAGTAGTGGTAGGTGTCAGGGTTGGGGACTTGGTACTGGTAGGTACTGGGGTTGTGGTCACTGTGGTGGTGGGTGTGGGTGTTGGGGTCTGAGTAGTGGTAGATGTTGGAGTAGAGGTCTCTGTAGTGGTAGGTACTGGCGTTGTGGTCACTGTGGTGCTGGGTGTGGTTGTTGGGGTCTGAGTAGTGGTAGGTACTGGGGTCGTGGTCACTGTGGTGGTGGGTGTGGGTGTTGGGGTCTGAGTAGTGGTAGATGTTGGAGTAGAGGTCTCTGTAGTGGTAGGTACTGGGGTCGTGGTCACTGTGGTGGTGGGTGTGGGTGCTGGGGTCTGAGTAGTGGTAGGTACTGGGGTCGTGGTCACTGTGGTGGTGGGTGTGGGTGCTGGGGTCTGAGTAGTGGTAGGTACTGGGGTCGTGGTCACTGTGGTGGTGGGTGTGGGTGCTGGGGTCTGAGTAGTGGTAGGTACTGGGGTCGTGGTCACTGTGGTGGTGGGTGTGGGTGCTGGGGTCTGAGTAGTGGTAGGTACTGGGGTCGTGGTCACTGTGGTGGTGGGTGTGGGTGCTGGGGTCTGAGTAGTGGTAGGTACTGGGGTCGTGGTCACTGTGGTGGTGGGTGTGGGTGCTGGGGTCTGAGTAGTGGTAGGTACTGGGGTCGTGGTCACTGTGGTGGTGGGTGTGGGTGCTGGGGTCTGAGTAGTGGTAGGTACTGGGGTCGTGGTCACTGTGGTGGTGGGTGTGGGTGCTGGGGTCTGAGTAGTGGTAGGTACTGGGGTCGTGGTCACTGTGGTGGTGGGTGTGGGTGCTGGGGTCTGAGTAGTGGTAGGTACTGGGGTCGTGGTCACTGTGGTGGTGGGTGTGGGTGCTGGGGTCTGAGTAGTGGTAGGTACTGGGGTCGTGGTCACTGTGGTGGTGGGTGTGGGTGCTGGGGTCTGAGTAGTGGTAGATGATGGAGTAGAGGTCTCTGTAGTGGTAGGTACTGGGGTTGTGGTCACTGTGGTGGTGGGAGTGGGTGTTGGGGTCTGAGTAGTGGTAGATGTTGGAGTGGAAGTCACAGAGACAGTTGGGGTTGTGGTTTGTGTTAGAGTAGAAGTGAGGGTTGACCTCTCTGTGGTGGTGGGTGTAGATGTTGGGGTTGTCTCTGTAGTGGTGGGTGTAGATGTTGGGGTTGTGGTCACTGTGGTGGTGCTGGGTGGGGGTGTTGGGGTCTGAGTAGTGGTAGGTATTGGAGTTGTGGTCACTGTGGTGCTGGGTGTGGGTGTTGGGGTTGTGGTCACTGTGGTGGTGGGTGTGGGTGTTGGGGTCTGAGTAGTGGTAGATGTTGGAGTGGAGGTCACTGTAGCAGTAGGTGTTGGGGTTGTAGTTTCTGTGATGATAGAAGTGGGGGTTGGGGTCTTTGTGGTGGTGAGTGTTGGGGTTGTGGTCACTGTGGTGGTGGTGGTAGGTGTTGGGGTTGTAGTCACTGTGGTGGTGGGAGATGGGGGTGTTGGGGGCTGAGTAGTGGTAGATGTTGGGGTTGTAGTCACTGTGGTGGTGGGAGATGGGGGTGTTGGGGGCTGAGTAGTGGTAGATGTTGGGGTTGTAGTCACTGTGGTGGTGGGAGATGGGGGTGTTGGGGGCTGAGTAGTGGTAGATGTTGGGGTTGTAGTCACTGTGGTGGTGGGAGATGGGGGTGTTGGGGGCTGAGTAGTGGTAGATGTTGGGGTTGTAGTCACTGTGGTGGTGGGAGATGGGGGTGTTGGGGGCTGAGTAGTGGTAGATGTTGGGGTTGTAGTCACTGTGGTGGTGGGAGATGGGGGTGTTGGGGGCTGAGTAGTGGTAGATGTTGGGGTTGTAGTCACTGTGGTGGTGGGAGATGGGGGTGTTGGGGGCTGAGTAGTGGTAGATGTTGGGGTTGTAGTCACTGTGGTGGTGGGAGATGGGGGTGTTGGGGGCTGAGTAGTGGTAGATGTTGGGGTTGTAGTCACTGTGGTGGTGGGAGATGGGGGTGTTGGGGGCTGAGTAGTGGTAGATGTTGGGGTTGTAGTCACTGTGGTGGTGGGAGATGGGGGTGTTGGGGGCTGAGTAGTGGTAGATGTTGGGGTTGTAGTCACTGTGGTGGTGGGAGATGGGGGTGTTGGGGGCTGAGTAGTGGTAGATGTTGGGGTTGTAGTCACTGTGGTGGTGGGAGATGGGGGTGTTGGGGGCTGAGTAGTGGTAGATGTTGGGGTTGTAGTCACTGTGGTGGTGGGAGATGGGGGTGTTGGGGGCTGAGTAGTGGTAGATGTTGGGGTTGTAGTCACTGTGGTGGTGGGAGATGGGGGTGTTGGGGGCTGAGTAGTGGTAGATGTTGGGGTTGTAGTCACTGTGGTGGTGGGAGATGGGGGTGTTGGGGGCTGAGTAGTGGTAGATGTTGGGGTTGTAGTCACTGTGGTGGTGGGAGATGGGGGTGTTGGGGGCTGAGTAGTGGTAGATGTTGGGGTTGTAGTCACTGTGGTGGTGGGAGATGGGGGTGTTGGGGGCTGAGTAGTGGTAGATGTTGGGGTTGTAGTCACTGTGGTGGTGGGAGATGGGGGTGTTGGGGGCTGAGTAGTGGTAGATGTTGGGGTTGTAGTCACTGTGGTGGTGGGAGATGGGGGTGTTGGGGGCTGAGTAGTGGTAGATGTTGGGGTTGTAGTCACTGTGGTGGTGGGAGATGGGGGTGTTGGGGGCTGAGTAGTGGTAGATGTTGGGGTTGTAGTCACTGTGGTGGTGGGAGATGGGGGTGTTGGGGGCTGAGTAGTGGTAGATGTTGGGGTTGTAGTCACTGTGGTGGTGGGAGATGGGGGTGTTGGGGGCTGAGTAGTGGTAGATGTTGGGGTTGTAGTCACTGTGGTGGTGGGAGATGGGGGTGTTGGGGGCTGAGTAGTGGTAGATGTTGGGGTTGTAGTCACTGTGGTGGTGGGAGATGGGGGTGTTGGGGGCTGAGTAGTGGTAGATGTTGGGGTTGTAGTCACTGTGGTGGTGGGAGATGGGGGTGTTGGGGGCTGAGTAGTGGTAGATGTTGGGGTTGTAGTCACTGTGGTGGTGGGAGATGGGGGTGTTGGGGGCTGAGTAGTGGTAGATGTTGGGGTTGTAGTCACTGTGGTGGTGGGAGATGGGGGTGTTGGGGGCTGAGTAGTGGTAGATGTTGGGGTTGTAGTCACTGTGGTGGTGGGAGATGGGGGTGTTGGGGGCTGAGTAGTGGTAGATGTTGGGGTTGTAGTCACTGTGGTGGTGGGAGATGGGGGTGTTGGGGGCTGAGTAGTGGTAGATGTTGGGGTTGTAGTCACTGTGGTGGTGGGAGATGGGGGTGTTGGGGGCTGAGTAGTGGTAGATGTTGGGGTTGTAGTCACTGTGGTGGTGGGAGATGGGGGTGTTGGGGGCTGAGTAGTGGTAGATGTTGGGGTTGTAGTCACTGTGGTGGTGGGAGATGGGGGTGTTGGGGGCTGAGTAGTGGTAGATGTTGGGGTTGTAGTCACTGTGGTGGTGGGAGATGGGGGTGTTGGGGGCTGAGTAGTGGTAGATGTTGGGGTTGTAGTCACTGTGGTGGTGGGAGATGGGGGTGTTGGGGGCTGAGTAGTGGTAGATGTTGGGGTTGTAGTCACTGTGGTGGTGGGAGATGGGGGTGTTGGGGGCTGAGTAGTGGTAGATGTTGGGGTTGTAGTCACTGTGGTGGTGGGAGATGGGGGTGTTGGGGGCTGAGTAGTGGTAGATGTTGGGGTTGTAGTCACTGTGGTGGTGGGAGATGGGGGTGTTGGGGGCTGAGTAGTGGTAGATGTTGGGGTTGTAGTCACTGTGGTGGTGGGAGATGGGGGTGTTGGGGGCTGAGTAGTGGTAGATGTTGGGGTTGTAGTCACTGTGGTGGTGGGAGATGGGGGTGTTGGGGGCTGAGTAGTGGTAGATGTTGGGGTTGTAGTCACTGTGGTGGTGGGAGATGGGGGTGTTGGGGGCTGAGTAGTGGTAGATGTTGGGGTTGTAGTCACTGTGGTGGTGGGAGATGGGGGTGTTGGGGGCTGAGTAGTGGTAGATGTTGGGGTTGTAGTCACTGTGGTGGTGGTAGATGAGGGTGTTGGGGTCTGTGTAGTGGTGGCGTTGTGGTCACTGTGGAGGTGGTGGATGGGGGTGTTGAGGTCTGAGTAGTGGTAGTTGGTGGAGAGGAGGTCACTGTAGCAGTAGGTGTTGGGGTGGTAGTTTCTGTGATGATAGAAGTGGGGGTTGGGGTCTTTGTGGTGGTGAGTGTTGGGGCTGTGGTCACTGTGGTGCTGGGTGTGGATGTTGGGGTCTGAGTAGTGGTAGGTGTTGGGGTTATGGTCACTGTGGTGGTGTGTACTGGGGTTGTGGTCACTGGGGTGGTGGGTGATGAGGTTGTAGGTCTCTGTGATGGGGGACTTTGGGGTTGTGGTCACTGTGGTGCTGGGTGTAGGTGTTGGGGTCTGAGTAGTGGTAGGTGTTGGGGTTGTGGTCACTGTGGTGGTGGTGGATGGGGGTGCTGGGGTCTGAGTGGTGGTAGGTGTGCACTGTGGTGGTGGTGGATGGGGGTGTTGGGGTCTGAGTGGTGGTAGGTGTGGGAGTTGTGGTCACTGTGGTGGTAGGTGTAGGTACTGGGGTTGTGGTCACTGTGGTGGTGGTGGATGGGGGTGTTGGGGTCTGAGTAGTGGTAGGTGTTGGGGTTGTGGTCACTGTCGTGGTGGTGTATGGGGGTGTTGGTGTCTGAGTGGTGGTGGTGGATGGAGGTGCTGGGGTCTGAGTAGTGGTAGGTGTTGGGGTTGTGGGGTGGTGGTGTGTGTGGTTGTGCCTGGGGTAGAGCACAGGTTAGGAGTGGGAGGAAGAGGAGGAGTAGGAGTAGCAGTATCACAGCACAGGACGCTGATCTCGTAGTTGAGACAGAAGGGCATGGGGATGGGCCCACCTATTTTCTGATCTGAGTTTTTGCACACCAGCCCAACAGACTTGTCACAAATCACCTTCTGTCCAAGCTGATCAATTGGGATGTTGGGATACATCACAGCTCTGCAGGAGATGTTAAGTACCTTCTCTGGTGCACAGAGATTTTCGATCCTTTCTACCTCTTCACCTGTTGGAGTAAAGGGGGCTTTTCCAGTATCCTTCCAAGGAGTCCACTGGCAGCCATCATCATCATCACCAGCAGTAGTACCAGCAGTAGTAACAACGCATGTAGTGGGTATTGGCGTAGTGGTGGATGCGGTAGTCGAGGTTGTTGAAGTGGTAGGCAAGGAGGTTGGAGATGTGGTAGCCGAGGTACTTGGTGAAGTAGTTGGTGAAGTTGTACCAGGGGTTGTTGGTGAACTGGTTGGTGAAGTGGTAGGTGACGTCGTTGATGGAGTGGTGGGTGACGTCATTGGTGGAGTGGTGGGTGATGTCGTTGATGGAGTGGTGGGTGATGTCGTTGATGGAGTGGTGGGTGATGTCGTTGGTGGAGTGGTAGGTGACGTCGTTGATGGAGTGGTGGGTGACGTCGTTGATGGAGTGGTGGGTGAGGTCGTTGATGGAGTGGTGGGTGATGTCATTGATGGAGTGGTGGGTGAGGTCGTTGGTGGAGTGGTGGGTGAGGTCCTTGGTGAAGTGGTAGGTGACATTGATACAGTGGTACTTGTGGATGGTGTTGATGAGGGACACGGTGGGTCCATTGGCATGCAACAATTGACTCGAATCTCATAGTCATAACAAAGTTCAAATGGTCCGTTTCCAAACTGGTCTTCGTTATTGCAAATCAATCCGTCTGTGACATTACACTGCACCTTCTGGCCCAGATCCTCCAAGCTGAGATGGGGCTCCGTGGCAGACCTACATTCAATGTCTTCAGGAGCACTGCAGACACTATCAAAGGTCTCTCGATCACCGCCATCACTGCCACTGCCAGGGTGGTCCTGGTTGATCCAGTCAGACCAGAAGCAGCACACATCTAGGAAGCAAAATTACATACTGGTCATTCATGCTTGGGGAGACACCTTGAGGGAGGCTGGGGTGACTCAGAGTCCTCAGTGACCTATGTGGCCATCCCCCCATATAGCAGCCAGCCCTCCCCATCGTCAAAGGACCATTTGTAGAGTTCCACAAAAAAAGAATGCCATCCACCTCCTTTCAGACAAGGTAACTTATTGGCCTAGAACTCACCAGTTGAGTTAGGCTGGCTTGTCAGGGAGCCCCGGGAATCCCATTGTCCCATCTCCCCAGCACTGGGATTGCAAGCACGCCTGCTACTTTTTACGTGGGTTCTGGGAGGTTGAGCAACTGAGCTATCTCCCCAGCCCAAAGGTGATTTTCTGTGTCTGCCACACCCCAGACAGCTCATTCAGCATAGCTATTTCATCCAGGAGGAATCCAGAGGGACATTATGACAATGACATCCCCTGGTTTCCCTAGCCTTTAGGGCAATTTCCAGAGTTCAGAGAATCCTCAGTATCACCTTCCTTTGCAGTTGATTTGCAGAACACAGATGACTTACACAGGCTTGGGCCTGTGCCCCCAGAAAGGTTCTCTGTGTTGGATGCACGACAAGAGCCCCAGAAGGAGCCTCACCTGTTCCGGGGGTCGTTGTCACAATGGGGGTGGTGGTGGTGGTGGTGGTGGTGGTGGTGGTGGTGGAAACCGTGGTAGAGGTGAATGGTGATGTCGACGAACCACAGATGTAAAACTCTTTCTCCACGGTCCCGTTGGGGCCACAGATCTCCAAGTAGCAGAAGATACCATCCTGGGTCTGATTAAGAATCGGTGGAAACCGTGGTAGAGGTGAATGGTGACGTGGTCGAGACACAGATGTTAAAGTGTTTCTCCACGGTCCCGTTGGGGCCACAGATATCCCAGTAGCAGATGATACCATCCTGGGTCTGATTAAGAACCTTCGTTCAAGACTTTTGCATTTTTTCTCCTGGGATTAAAGGTATGTGCCACAATGTCTGCCCTCCCCCCAATCTTTTTAAGGCATGACCTTTCTATGTAGCCCTAGCTATTCTGGAACTCTCTATGTTAACCAGGCTGATATCAAACTTTTGGCAATCCTCCTGTCTCTGCCTCCCAAGTGCTGGGTAAGGGTGAGTCTCCATGTGCAGTTTTGTGTGTGTGTGTGTGTGTGTGTGTGTGTGTGTGTGTGTGTGTGTGTGTACACAGGTGCATGGGTGTATGCAGATGTCCACATGTGTGGGGGTACCTGTGGAGAACAGAGAGCAACCTCCAGTTGCTTAAAGAATGCCATCTGTCAGATGTGGTGGTACATGCCTTTAGTACCAGAACTCAGAAGGCAAAGGCAGGTGGATCTTTATGAAATCAAGGCCAGCCTGGTCTACATAGTGAGTTCCAGGCCAGCTGGGGCTATAGGGGAGACTCTTTCTAACTGCTCCCCCACACACACAAAAAAAGAATGCCATCCACCTCCTTTCAGACAAGGTAACTTATTGGCCTAGAACTCACCAGTTGAGTTAGGCTGGCTTGTCAGGGAGCCCCGGGAATCCCATTGTCCCATCTCCCCAGCACTGGGATTGCAAGCACGCCTGCTACTTTTTACGTGGGTTCTGGGAGGTTGAGCAACTGAGCTATCTCCCCAGCCCAAAGGTGATTTTCTGTGTCTGCCACACCCCAGACAGCTCATTCAGCATAGCTATTTCATCCAGGAGGAATCCAGAGGGACATTATGACAATGACATCCCCTGGTTTCCCTAGCCTTTAGGGCAATTTCCAGAGTTCAGAGAATCCTCAGTATCACCTTCCTTTGCAGTTGATTTGCAGAACACAGATGACTTACACAGGCTTGGGCCTGTGCCCCCAGAAAGGTTCTCTGTGTTGGATGCACGACAAGAGCCCCAGAAGGAGCCTCACCTGTTCCGGGGGTCGTTGTCACAATGGTGGTGATGGTAGTGAACGGGGTGGTGGTGGT